CCTCTCTCTCTCACTCTCTCTCTCCTCTCTCTCTCCCTCTCTCTCTCTCCCTCTCTCTCTCACTTACCAGATACAAGATGCTTCTCTCCTAGTACAACTTTAGACACTGGATTACTGTGAACGTTATAACTTTGAAACAATTGTGGGGTGTGACCGATGTTCTCAGGATGACGTACTATCACTCTCACGCCTCCTCTATCAGTCCCATAAGCTACTTCCATCCACGTCTGACCAGCATCTGGGAACACACAGAGAGTAAAAGATGGTAATAGCAACATACATGTAGCAATAGTTTCAATGAAAAAGAAATATTATATTTTCAATTGTGATTACAAAGGATTTTAGTATAGAGCTAAAAGACCCTGTACTATTATAGTACAGGGTTGTTGGCCAAATTTTGCCAAAAATGACTAGGAGAAAATTCTCCATTTTTATGATGTTTTCTGATGCATATACATGTACTTATGTTGTGTAGAAAGTTTGAGCTGATTACGATCAAAATTGGATTTTTAACGAATTTTTAAAGTTGCTCCAAAATCAGGCCAAAATCCCTGTACTATATATAGTATAGGGTCGTTGGCCAAATTTCATCAAAAATGACTAGGAGAGAATTCTCCATTTTTATAATGTTTTCTAATGCAAGTACATGTACTTATGTTGTGTAGAAAGTTTGAGCTGATTACAATCAAAATTGGTTTTTTACGAATTTTTAAAGTTGCTCCAAAATCAGGCCAAAATCCCTGTACTATAGTACAGGGTCGTTGGCCAAATTTCATCAAAAATGACTAGGAGAGAATTCTCCATTTTTATAATGTTTTCTGATGCAAGTACATGTACTTATTTTGTGTAGAAAGTTTGAGCTGATTACGATCAAAATTGGATTTTTAACGAATTTTTAAAGTTGCTCCAAAATCAGGCCAAAATCCCTGTACTATATATAGTACAGGGTCGTTGGCCAAATTTCATCAAAAATGACTAGGAGAGAATTCTCCATTTTTATAATGTTTTCTAATGCAAGTACATGTACTTATTTTGTGTAGAAAGTTTGAGCTGATTACGATCAAAATTGGATTTTTAACGAATTTTTAAAGTTGCTCCAAAATCAGGCCAAAATCCCTGTACTATATATAGTACAGGGTCGTTGGCCAAATTTCATCAAAAATGACTAGGAGAGAATTCTCCATTTTTATAATGTTTTCTAATGCAAGTACATGTACTTATGTTGTGTAGAAAGTTTGAGCTGATTACAATCAAAATTGGTTTTTTACGAATTTTTAAAGTTGCTCCAAAATCAGGCCAAAATCCCTGTACTATAGTACAGGGTCGTTGGCCAAATTTCATCAAAAATGACTAGGAGAGAATTCTCCATTTTTATAATGTTTTCTGATGCAAGTACATGTACTTATGTTGTGTAGAAAGTTTGAGCTGATTACGATCAAAATTGGATTTTTAATGAATTTTTAAAGTTGCTCCAAAATCAGGTCAAAATCCCTGTACTATAGTACAGGGTCGTTGGCCAAATTTCACCAAAAATGACTAGGAGAGAATTCTCCATTTTAATAATGTTTTCTGATGCATATACATGTACTTATGTTGTGTAGAACGTTTGAGCTGATTCCGATCAAAATTGGATTTTTTATGAATTTTTAAAGTTACTCAAAACCCATGTATAATGTACTGTATTGTAGTGCTTGTCAGCTCATGAAGCTCATGCTGTTTAGCTCACTTAGCATGCTTTGTGGGAAACCCTGCTCACTACAAAATCTGAAGGACAATTGGACATTAAATAAGAGTTATTTTTGAGCTATGGTTGTCTAAAATACATGAGCCACAGAACAATAGTACTCACAGCAGTTTGGTGGCATGAATATACTCAGGGCCGTCACTTCTTCTTTAAAAGGATCCTGAAACAACTCCGTCACAAGGAGATCATTGTCTTTCATCCTAACAGGAAACTTTTCCATATCTAAGGAAGAAAGGAAGAAAAATAAAATAAAATAAAACACACAAAATATAATAATGATGAATGTATATGGTTTCAAATTTTTTCAGCACGGATCACTTACCAATATAATAAATGCTTCCGTTGCTACAACCGAGAATGAGATACGAGCCAGCTGTATCGTAACTCCTTATCTGTGACAGCTCCTGTATCTGTGGATGAATAAAACAGCAAAAGAAATAAATCACATGATCCCATCCCTGATGATGGGCACTACTGGTGCCATCGCTTACCTGCCAGTGTCTTTGGACCGACTGCCATACTGCAACTTTACCAGTGTTGCTAATGGCAACCAGCTGGTTGTTGATAAAGAACAATCCATCAATAGGAATCTTCATATCAAATGTAGCTAATGAGAGAGAGAGAGAGAGAGAGGGAGAGGGTGAAAATACTTGAGTAAATGATACATTTTCTATTAACAATTTATAAATTTTCTAGTACATACATGTACATGTACATGTAGTTTACTTACCTAGCAGTCTTGGCTGAGGGCTGATGCTCCATATTTTAATTTCATTACCTTTCATGTAATAGAAAGAGAGAATCAAAAACAGTAGATACAAATAATGCACATGATTACCTAGTACCACGGCTAATATTTTATCTCCCAGGGAAGTAGCAGTGACTCTAGCATTGAGTGCAATGCACTGTGGTCTTCTCTCAAGTGGAGGCGTTGTGTGTATAAGCTCCCAACCTTTGGACTCTCTAGCACTAAAATAAATAAAAATGTGTTGTTTGTGAGAGCTAGGCTATATCAAGAGTAGACAATAATTAAAGGAGAGTGTCCTACTATGCACTATGACCCCTGCATCATCACCGCGTAGATATGGAAAGTCACATTTTGGTTATTTCCATATTTCATTTGAGTAATTTTGAAAATTACTAACAATAACTACTCAAAAATAATAAGTACTCCAGAAATAACCGGAATGTGACTTTCTATTTCTATGCGATGATGAAGCAGACCATATAGCTGGTAGGACACTCTCTTCTAATCATTATCTACTCTTGGCTACACGTATAGCGTAGGTTAATCATCAACAATAATTACGTGTAGGTTCCATCAATAAGGTCTAGGTGCATGACAAAATAATGTATGACACATTAAAATTACCCAATTAGAAGGTAGTATAGGGCAAACTCAGTAACCCACCCTTGCTTGTTGATTATTATTTATCAGTTGAGATCATTTTTACAATAAAATTTGAGCCAAGTTTGTTTGTATATGTAGTACATACCTAAGCACACACACACAGTGATTGTAAGCAACTGCAATGCAATTACTGTGACCGACTATCTGTATAACCTGTCTCTGTAGCTCTGTTGTGTGTGTGAGAGAGAGAGAGTGAGAGAGAGAGAGAGAGAGAGAGAGAGGGAGGGAATAAACAAAATGTGGATAATTTCTTTTGTACATTGTACCTGGTTTTAGTAGAGCTGTTACTTGAGCCTGCTGGGTTTCTAGGGATAGTTCGTCAAAAACTATTTAAAAATTATAATAAAATAAAAGAGAGAAAGAAGAGGAGAAAGAATAAAAGAGAGAGGAGAGAACAAGCTGTCTTTACCAGGCGGATTTAACTGTGCATAGAATAATATAGAGCCACAGGATGACTTCTCTAATTCCTCGCAAACAGCTAATCTCTTCACTAAAACAATACAACAGTAACTTATGTACATGTGATATTATCTGGCATGAATATGCTGGTCTATCATTATTGTCTCAATACATACCAAGTGGATGTACGCCATAGAACTCAGCTTCATGTCTCAAAGAAGACACATTAACATTTCTAATATAAAGAAAGTAATTATTACCATTCATGCATGTAGACTCACTTCAAGTCAACGTCACGAGTTCTCAAAAAATTCAAGACAATTCTGAATAGGCTAGGATCACGATCAATAAATATCTACAATAATAATTACATTGGCCACGCCCCTCATGAATAAATAATTTGAAGACTTACAGCTCCTGTTTCATCCTTCACTGAAGGTATCCTACCACTTATTAGACTATAATAAATTAATAATAATAATAATAATACTACACAGGCCAAACCTGGAGAAAAATGAATCAGGTATCCATGTCAGCGTCTGGCGAGAGGTTGAGAACCTACATGGGGTAGATATCCATCCAATAACTCATACTGTGCCTTTATTTGTTACCTTTTACCACCTACATTAAGTGTAATGATGTCTCCACTGGCAGTCGCCATTTTAAGCTCATTCACAAGTTAGACCTGCCCTGTTGAGTAGGTGCACTTTTATTAGAAATTTAGAATACAATTTGTTCTATTTTTAGCAACGTGCAAATTGCAGCATCACGTTGTGTCTATTTTAGTATTTTTAGACTATCAAATTATAAATAGATTCTGCTGACAGGCAACAAACATGTACAATAATAGTAATTAAAAATAACAATAATTAATAATAATGATAATAATAATAATAATAATTAATAATAAGTGCTACACAGAAGTGTGTTTCGCTTCTTGTAAAGTTGCAGGAGGCAATTCTTCTTCTCCCCCAGCAGAACCTGATTTAGGACTGTTGAGCTATAATAAATTAGAAGGGATTTTGTTAAATACATTATAGAATGCAATACAAACTACAGAACATGAACAAGAATAATTAATGTACTACAAGTGAATGCCATTCAAAAAAATGCAAATTCCTCATAATGAACCAATTATATTTAGGGGAATATTATCATAATCACATTAATGCCATGCATTATAAAGTACAAGACGTGTACATACTACATGTACATACACTGACTTACTCCTGGATTTGATGGTGTTGGTAATTCTTCCTCTGGAATCCGTCCAGGCCTCGCCCATAACTGTACAAACCCGTCCTCAGTAGAGATAAGAATACAGTCTTCCCTAAATACGATATCACTGAGTCTCTCAGACCAGATCTTCTTGCACACGAGTGGCTCGATCACATTCACTTCGATCATTTTCGGTGCAATGTCGTCGCTTTGACAAGATTCAAAATTATTCACATGGAGGTGTCTTGGGCTGCTGAGGTCGTTGTCCAAACCTCCTCCTCCTCCGCCTCCTCCAGAATTCACTAAATTCTTGATTTTTTTAGTAGCCGATTTGACGATTGATTTCTTCTTTTTCGATTTTGCTGAGTCGGAGGAGAGAGACGAAGACTCTGCGCCATCGGGAAAATGTGGTATGCTGTCAGTTGGAGATACTAGCTCCACTTCAACGTTCTCACTGTTGTGTCTCTTCTTCTTTCCCTTAACCTTGCCCTCCACCTTGCGTCCATGATCAGGGCTCTCAATAGGTAGATGTAGCTGATCTTCATTGGCTGATGAAGGACATTGGGATCCTGATTTCCTTTTATCGTGTTTCTCACTCTCTCTCCCGTCATTAGCTCCTCCCTCTCCACACTCCCCGGCACTAGCCTGTTTCGATATCACTGTCCGTGTCCTGCTCCAATTCCCTCTTCTCTGCATTGTTAATGAGTCACTTGTTAATTCCCAAAGACACACGAGTCCATCTTGTCCTACAGACCCAACCCGGTATGACTCACACTCATCAAAAAACCGACTGCTCCTACTCCTTAGATCAGAGGACGAGGGCTGAGCCAGCCCTCCCTCCTCTTCCTTTTTCTTTTCGTTGAGTTGGAATGAGTCGCTTTCCATTGTGTAAGGATCGAAACTGACTCCATTCACATACGAGTGATGTCCTTCTCCTCTGGTCACCACAGCTTTATCATGATACGACCACACACTAACGAGATCATCCTCTCCTCCGGTCACAACGTATTTACCGTCAGGGCTCCAACAAACACAGAGAAACCCACCGTAGTAGCTCCTCATTCGTCCGTAGAGCTCCATGCTGTGAAAATCATATATCCTAAGGAAGCCATCTTGATTAGCGACGGCTATGTGGGTTGTGTCTGGAGAAAAAGCAAAGGCTGTGATGGGCCCATGGCCCACGCCCCAACGATTGATGACTGGGAATCGGTGCTTAGGCCGACTGATGTATATGGTCGTGTCCTTGAGTTTCTTGTGTACGGAGAAGGTTGGGGGATTTGATGACCTGTACTTTTGCTCTGTGTTCCAAGTATAGAGGTTACCGCTCATATGCGATGAGACAAAATGTATTTCACTACCAGGTACCCATCTGACACATGTCACATCAGTTGGATCAATTAGACGCTAAAAAAACAGAAATAAATATTATAAAAACTCTTCATTGTTGTTACATACACATTAGGCATAGTTTCTATTTCGTGATTGTTTTATATTACACCCAAATGGCCAATCCACTACAGCATGTTACACAATGGGAACAACATAATGACACAGACACAATTAGGAAGTGGGACATGAAATCTAACCCATAGAAGGATAGTGTCACTGTTCTGTCTCTCTCTGTCTCGATCTGTATCTGTCTCTCTCTCTGTCTCTCCCTCTCCCTCTCTCTGTCTCAATCTGTCTCTGTCTTGATCTGTATCTGTCTCTCTCTCAATCTGTCTCTGTCTTGATCTGTCTCTCTCTTTCTCTTTTTAATATAGTCACTTACATCATTGTTATAAAGAGCTATTGATGACTTGGTGATTGGATTAATACGCTGCAAAGGCCCTCCATTGAAACCTATTACTAAATCGAGACTGTCAACACTACGTGTTGCTTGATTAACGTCGTGAGAGAGAGGATAAGAGGCACGATATGAGTGCTTATCAACTGGATTAGTAAGATCTGGTACCTAATATGAATAATGATGATGATAATAATAATAATAATAATAATAATAATAATAATAATACAGATATCAAAAATTGGAAGTGAAAGTGATATGATATACACGTATGTGCATAAAAGTAGGGTCCTTTGAAAATACATGTACATTTTATAAGTTATGCATGTTAAATACCTCGTGATGGAAGCTAATTACTGAATTGCATATAATGTGTACAGAGAATGAGATTAGGTAAGGAACTAATCCTATTCTGTTCCTTGTAGTGTTCATAATTAGTTGAACATTATCTTAAACTACTAAAACATGTGCACATGTACATGTCGTACACAATGTACCCACTGATGAAATTTAGAAACATCAATGATCCTGTTTATTCTATACAAGCAGGCATATTTTATTTATTATGTTATATAAAAAAAACAATGTTTACATGTTGACGTACCCTCTCTGTCGCTGAGAACGGATAGCAAAAGAACTCTTTCCCAGAGTTAAAGAGGACCCACTCTGAGAGCCCCTGCATGTCCTTAACAGAGACGACACTGACCCTAGTCCGTGATAGCTCTTTGCCAAGTAGTGGCAAGCCCCTGGGTTTGCTGTAGCGATGACTTTTGAGGTTTGTATAGTAGCCCTCCTTCGTCTTGAACTCTAGCCTGATCTCGGGCTGAGACTGGGACTTTCTCTTGGCACGACTAGCCATAGAGAACACTGAGAAACTTTATGAAACCCAAAGAGGGACCCAAACAACAAGCAAAGTTTTAAAGTAGGCGGGGTCCCATACATAAATTGAGTGGGTGGTAAAGAGGAGGAGTTTGATTGTACACATCACGTGATTTACGCGTGACTTTGTTGGCGGCATTTGCCGCGCTGCCAGTCTAGAAGATTCTGGCGGGGAGAAAAAGTTCCCAACTTCCCACCGATCCCACGTGTGACCTGGTCCACCTGGAACATTCTGGAGTGGACGAGGATAGACTCTGGCCACGAGTATTTAGGGAGCTCTTCTTCTTGCCAATCCTCACGAATCTTTCTGAAGCGAGCTATATTCTTTTAGGAAACAGTCAAATCCTCAAGCATTTGTTCTTTATTTAACAATCATGGCAGATCCAGCAGCCCCAGCTACCATGGAAGAAGAAACTGAAGTGGAAACCTTTGCCTTTCAGGCCGAGATCGCTCAACTCATGAGCCTCATCATCAATACCTTTTACTCAAACAAGGAGATCTTCCTCAGGGAATTAATCTCAAACTCTTCTGATGTGAGTTTCACATCATAATTAAGACCCAAATTTTTAATTTTAATTTTTTAGGCTCTAGATAAAATCAGATATCAGAGTTTGACAGATCCTTCAGTCCTCGAAGCAAACAAGGACCTTCAGATCACACTCATTCCAAATAAGGAAGACAACACTCTCACCATCATTGACACTGGAGTCGGAATGACAAAGGCAGATCTTGTCAATAACCTTGGTACCATTGCTCGATCTGGTACCAGGTCTTTTATGGAGGCACTGCAGGTATGTTTTAGAGGGCTAAAATTTTTTGGTGGTTGGTCGACTTGAATATGGCAAATTTGTGGCCATGTGTTATTAAATATGCACAATTATTTAATGCAGAGTTAAGCTATACTAACCGAAAGTGAAAGTTTTGCATGTGCATTTTTTAAAATTATTTTTCATTTTTAACAATCCAGAATTTGAGCCTTTCAATTATCATTGAAGGTGATAAATTGATAATTTAATTATATCATGTGTCACCCATCTGTCACTATGTGTGTGTGCATATGTGACCTTTATCTCTGAGGCCACACACTGTTTACACAACCTGATAGCTTTTATCTATTGGTTGCTTTCATCTACAATAATAGTGAAATCATTTGAATGGTTTCTTGTCATAATGTGAGAAGGGTATTTATCCCCATAATGAATTCGTTGTGAATTTTGTGATGTGATTTTTTTGTTACTATAGGCCGGTGCTGATATATCTATGATTGGACAATTTGGTGTAGGATTCTACTCTGCTTATCTTGTAGCTGAGAGAGTTCAAGTGACAACAAAAGTAAGCTAAGCATATTAAATTTAGTAATGTTTTATCTTTTTCTTCTTTAGCACAATGACGATGAGCAGTACATATGGGAATCATCTGCAGGCGGTTCTTTCACTGTCAGACGTGACGAAAGTGGAGAAGAATTCCCACGTGGTACAAAGATTGTTCTCTACCTCAAGGAAGATCAAAATGAGTACTTGGAGGATCGTCGCATCAAAGAGATCGTCAAGAAGCACAGTCAGTTCATCGGATACCCCATCCACCTTCAAGTACAAAAGGAGAGGGAGAAGGAGATCAGCGACGACGAGGCTGAGGAAGAAGAAGGAGAGAAGAAGGAAGAGGATGAAGCTGATGGAGAAGCAAAGAAAGATGATGAGCCAAAGATAGAGGAAGTGGACTCTGACGAGGAGGAAGAGGGAGACAAGAAGGAGGACAAGAAGAAAAAGAAGAAGATCAAGGTAATACTTATAGTTAACTCCTAATTGTATAATATTAATAAATTGTAATACTTTTTATTAGCTTTATTTTAATGATCATGTCACTACTAATTTTTTTTTAACAGGAGAAGTACACTGATGTTGAAGAGCTCAACAAAACAAAGCCACTCTGGACACGAAACCCTGACGATATCACAAAAGAAGAATATGGAGAGTTCTATAAGTCCCTAACAAATGATTGGGAAGATCACTTAGCAGTCAAGCACTTCTCTGTAGAGGGACAGCTAGAATTCCGTGCTCTTCTTTTTGTTCCTAAACGTGCCCCCTTTGATCTTTTTGAAAACAGAAAGGTCAAAAATAACATAAAGCTATACGTTCGCAGGGTCTTCATCATGGAGAATGCTGAGGATCTTATTCCAGAGTATCTTAATTTCGTAAAGGGTGTGGTTGACTCTGAAGATCTTCCCCTGAATATCTCCCGTGAGATGTTGCAGCACAACAAGATCCTAAAGGTCATCAGGAAGAACCTTGTCAAGAAATGCCTCGAGCTCTTCCAAGAGCTTACCGAAGATGCCGAGTCCTTTAAGACCTTTTACGAGCAGTTTGGCAAGAACCTTAAACTTGGGATCCACGAGGACAGTCAGAACAGGAAGAAAATTGCTGACCTTTTGCGCTACCGCTCCTCTGCCTCAGGGGAGGAGATGACCTCACTGAAAGACTATGTCTCTCGTATGAAAGAGAACCAAACACAAATATACTACATCACCGGAGAGACTCATGACCAGGTGAGCAGTTCTGCCTTTGTGGAGCGAGTCACTAAACGAGGATTTGAAGTATTGTACATGGTGGAGCCAATTGATGAGTACTGTGTACAACAACTGAAGGACTACGAGGGAAAGACCCTTGTCTCTGTCACAAAGGAAGGACTTGAGCTCCCTGAGGATGAGGAAGAGAAAAAGAAGTTTGAGGAGCAGAAGGCGAAATTTGAGGGTCTCTGCAAAGTGATGAAGGATATCCTTGACAAGAAGGTCGAGAAGGTAGTCGTTTCAAAGCGTCTTGTCTCGTCCCCTTGCTGTATCGTTACTAGTCAGTATGGCTGGACTGCCAACATGGAGAGGATCATGAAAGCACAGGCCCTTCGTGACACTAGCACCATGGGATACATGGCAGCTAAGAAGCAGCTCGAGATTAATCCTGATCACTCAATCATCGAGACTCTCCGTCAGAAATCTGACGGAGACAAGAATGATAAGTCTGTCAAGGACCTGGTCCTCCTTCTTTTTGAGACCTCTCTTATGTCTTCCGGCTTTACACTGGAGAGTCCTCAGAGTCATGCCAATCGTATCCACCGTATGATCAAGTTGGGCCTTGGAATCGACGATGATGAAGTCCCTGGAGCTGAGGAGGTTCCCGAGGAATTACCACCACTTGAGGGAGGAGAAGGAGATGATGATCGTATGGAAGAGGTTGATTAAAGACTTAAGACTTAATGTTCAAGTATAAAATACGTGTTGTTGTTAAGTGTTATAATAATAACTAGTAATAACTATGCTGTAAAAGCTGTTAAAAATGAATATTCTTGATTTTTGTGTTGTGTCATTTTAAATATGTAATGTGAATTCAAATCATTGTAAATGCCAGACCAAGTTTGGAATAATTTTCTAAAGGCTACCATACACTAGGCAACATGTTGCTAGCAACATTTGTGGTTACTTTGATCTTGTAAGCAACATGTTGCCAGAAATAGAAAGATGTTCTATTTTTGGCAACATGTTGTTTGGTTGCTAGCAACAAGTTGCCTCGTGTATGAAGGCCTTTAGGGTTAGATTTTAGAAATGCTCTTACAATTGACAAAAATATCTTTAAATCATCAAAATTTTAATTAAAAAAGTAAACTAAAGCCTCAATAAAGAGTTAGTCTTAGTTAATTGAGGAGTAAAGTAAGTACAAATCGTCGTGCATCAGTTGCTCCATCTCCATCGATCCATTGGAATGTGTTTATGTCCATCGTGGCTAGCTCAGTTTGACCATTAGCAGTTCCAACAAATGTAACAATGGAGTCAATATGCCATCCATCATTGCTACCTTGCTCCAATGTGATTTGCTCAATCTCAGACTTACGAATGCAAGTATCAGTGAAACCAAAACTTGCAACACTTATCTTCCAAAGATCTCCTTTAGCTCGCTGAAAATCGTCACCAGGCAAGTTTGGAAGTCGTCCTTTGCGAACCACCCCATTGACTTTCATTTCAATCATGTGAGCACTCTCAGCAGCATTGGCGTTAAGATCATTTGAACTAAATCCCATCACATACAAAGTTGTGATGCAGGCACCTAATAATGATACAATGACAAAAATGATGAAGCATGAGGGAATGAGTATTTTACCTGAGGCAACATCGCGACGCTCCAATCCTTGTTCATTGAGTTCCTTCACTTGTTCCATCAAAGCAGGACTAGCTGAGGTGCATGCAATGAGTCCTAACACAAGGAGAGCTGCAAATAGTTGAGCCTTTGCCATTTCTTTTTATTGATTCACTTGTATATAGCTATGGATCTAATGCAATGAGAGTCACTGCTGAACTACCTTTATATAGGCTTTCCCCTGAGGCTGGAGTCCTGGGCCAACTGTCATTGATCCTATTCATTCTTATCATTAGTATTTGACCTTCATAGACTGTAATTCATCATCAATAGGAAATTATTTTAAACTGATTACAGTATGTTATTAACATACCATAGTCAGTTTAAAATAACTTTCTATTCATGAATTACAGTCTATATGCATAAGGTCAGTGATAATCTAATAATGATAAGAATGAATTGCAATAGTCAGGGCCCGGAGATCGGCCCAAGTTAAATGGCACTGATCTTCCTGGACTATTGCCATTGATCCTATTTATTCTTATTATTAGGATTTGAAATTATGTGTGCAGCTGTGTTAAAGTTTAATTCATCAATAGAAAGCTATGATCATTCTATTTTCAGCACTGAATTGATATCATGTACTCTTGATCGAGCTCTTGATAATAATTGATCCCTAAAAATAAAAAAAATTAATCTTGTCCAGACCACGCCCTATAACAAAATGGCTGACAGGTGCTATGGGTGCACTAGTAAGTACAAGTTTCGAGAAAAGCCGATAGACTGCCCTCAGTGTCGGAAGAGCTTTTGTAACAAGTGCCTAGACCGTAAGAGATTGAGTGAGCCCGGATACTCTTGTGTCTACTGCTCCCAGAAGCAAAAGAGAGCCAACAAAGCAGAAGAGAAAGACATACTTCAGAACTTTCATGAACGTTACTATAAGCACAGGCAGCAGCAGGACCATTCTAAGTTATCTCGAGTACCAGTAGAAAGTAAAGCACCACATGTATCTAGGACCAGTCCGGCGCAGGCACAGAAACGGGGTTTTCTAAGCCCCGAGGACCAGGAACTTGAAAATAGATTTTTAAGGCTTCGTCAAGACCGTGTTACTGATGTCCCAACTACAGCCGAACTACAAGAGAAATTCAATCAGTTTCAAGGCAAAGACACTGCCGAAACACCTTCTAGTACGTCATCTAATCAATCTACTGAGGTTCCACCTGGTAGTAAGACTAACTTTGAGCAGACGCAAGATCTGATGAAGCAAATGAAGGAAGAGGCAGACCTGGAGAACAAGTTAGAAGCACGACAACGCAAACAAGATTCAGAGATGGCAGCTCGATTTGATGCTTTAAGAGGCAGAGAAACTAGCATATCAAACAGTACAACTAATGACCGGACTAACGATGAATCAGATAAGGTTCTTTCAAGTACAGAGGGAGGTTTAAAACCAGAAGTAGAGACCGACCCTGAGAAACTGTTACATGATCTGCAAAATTTGGCATCTCAGGAAGAAAGAGCTGCTTTACAAGTACTCGGATCATCTGACATTAAATCTATACTACAAAAAGTGAAGCCAGAAGATGAAAATCGTCCCGACATCACTTATCCTACTTTAGAGGGGGAGGCAAGGTCTAACGAAGGGACAAATCGTGACATGATACCAGAGAAAGAGCTCCAGGGTCTTATTGAGGAAGGATTAGCAGAGAATAAGCTTGAAGCTGAACTGAAGGCAAGAGATAATGATTTCATAGCATCTGCTACAAATCAAGTCTCAAAGTTAATGACCAACAGTGACAACGAGAGTGACGAAGAGGAGGTGAAGAGTAAACCAAGAGGTGCTGAAGGAGGAGGCTTAGACTTTAATTGGCGTCACTTTGAAACCAAAGGAGCCGTTTCTAAGACTGCTGACTCAATAGGACTCGACTGGTTTGACGACGAAGATGAGGAATTTGATGAACAAGTTCACAAGCTTTTAACACAAATATCAGAAGAAGCTAAACTGGAGGAAAGATTGGAAGCAAGTGGATTGGGACACATTTTGGAAGAGAAGACCCAAGAACCTAAAGCATCTCCTCCTTCAGTCAGAGGAGCTGCAGCTGCTATTTCAGTTAGAGAAGAAGGAGATGAATTCCCTTGGTGTTGTATGTGCAATGCTGATGCTGCTCTTAAGTGTTTTGATTGTGACAATGATCTTTATTGTGTCCCTTGCTTTTCTCAGGGTCACGAAGGATTCCAGTTGTTTGATCATCGCTATGCACCTTTTGAACATTCATCTAGAAAATAATAAAATCTAATTGTAATAGCAAGACTAGAACGATTTGTCTCATTGTTTTCTTTATATTTGTTTGTGTAACATTACTACAAACTGTTAAAGTATTTTGGTACAGTGAAGCAAGAGGTAAAACTATATAACTTTTAGCAATGGCTTTAAAAAATAATGTAGCTATTGACAGCAGCAAAAAAAGCAGTAGCTAATAAGAGCAGCATGCAGCTTAAAGGTTCTTCCATGGTCTCCAGTATCCACCATTATCTGCCATGAATTTACATGCATTGGAATCACTGGGTAAAGCAGCCTCAGAGTGATATCCTTGATCTTGCATGTCTCGTGGCTCTTTTGAAAACTCATTGTACCTTTCCAGTAGCTTTTGGACCATCTCAGGATTTTCTTTCGACAGATCTTTTTTCTCAGTAGGAT